CGGGCTCGGGCAATCCACTCACCTCAGCCTCCCAAAGGCGCGGGATTACAGGCTGAGCCACCGAGCCCGGCTTGCATTTTTAATTTTAATGCTCATGGAAAGACCACACATGACCAGTGGCAGCGGAGCTGGACAGCGTAGGTCCCAGGGGTTCCTCGGAGCTCCCAGGGCCTGAGGCTCACCTGTGGGCTCTGGCCCTGGGCTGGGTGCGTCTTTGCCGGCCACACTGGCTGGAAGCTGGAAGGCATCCAGAGGGGTCTGGCCACCCTCGGCTTGGCTAGGGACAAGATGGTGGAGTTGGGAGGCAGGGGTCCTGGGCTGCTGGGCTGAGGGGGGGGTGTGGGTTCCCTACCCCACAAGACACTCCAACAGCGAACATGGACCCACCCTGAGACACTCAAAGGGCTCATCACAAGACCCTCCCTCCCCTGATGTGGGACCCATACACCTAGGGGCCACCTGGATGTCACCGCCTGGGTGTCCCCTGGCATCTCATGGTTATCCGAGCTGCAAAGCATCTTCCTTCCAAACCTGTTCTTCCCAGGAGTCCAAGTCCAGACCCAGCAAAGCCAGAGACCTGGGCAGAGGATGGCCTCCTCCCCTCCTCCTCCCTTGGAGTCCTGGGCTCTCCCAGGACCTGCCCTAGCCTCCTCCCTGGTTCCCAGTGCCCATCTTGTTCCCTAGTCCCCCTTCTCCATGGCAGCTGGGGGTGACTGTGACCCTCTCCAGCTCTAGACCCTTCTGTGGCTCCCCTGTACCCCGGAGACCACAGGCCCAGCGGTCATCCTCAGCCTTATCTCGTGACTTTCTACTGCAGCCCCAGGTACTACCTTTAGTTCCTTGGACAGGTCAGGCTGTTGCTCTGAGCCTTTGCCTCTGCTTGGCATGCCCTTCCCACTTCTGGCTTCTTCTTGCCTTGAGTTGCTCTGTCCTGCAGCCTTCCCCTGGTGACAGCCTGCCATGGCTCTCTGGTGCCCCAGCGTCAAGTCTAGACCCTCCACCTGGGCCTGAGGCCGCTGTGAGCTGCCCCTGCCTCCCTCGCAGATGATGTCCTCCTCACCCTGAGGGCTCCTCCCTGTCTCCTGCATCTAGGAGGGTCTCACCTCCCCCTCCCAGGCATGTTTGCAGACCCCCAGGGGTGCGACCTGTTCTGGAAGCCCTCTCTGAAGAGCCCCCACCCCTGTGGGGCTGTGATCTGTCTCTAGGAGGGGGGTCCCAGCACCCGGAGCCCTGCGGCCCTCACCTGAGCACGTGGCTGACCCAGAGAACGTGGTGCTCCCCGGGGCTCTTCCCGCTCCCGGCCACGGTGGCCACGGACTGCAGCCACACAAAGCCCCCCGCGCGCTGCAGCCAGCGATAGTAGCCGGTCATCACCTGACCCTTGTCCAGCACTGGGCCCAGCCCAGGGGCGAGAGAGACGGGAAGGGACGGTCGGGATGGGGGAGATGGGTGGACAGGAGACGGGCAGAAGCCGGGCGGAGACCAGTGGGGACGGCGTGAGGGAGAGATGGGTTGAGGAGACGGCAGAGGGGGCGGGCGAGAGGGGAAGGCACAGGGAGAGGAGAGACAGAGCCGGGGTCAGAGGCAAGAGGCCGCTCAGCATCAGGGCCGCCTGGGTTTTTCAGGGTAGGCGGGAGACCCCACGGGCGCCCTGGCTCCTGCCCCATCCTGAGCTGTCTCCTTGCTGCTTTTTTGGCGCTAGCTTGAGCCCCCGGAGCTAGATGCAGCAGGAGAGGGGGACTATGGAGAAAGACTTTGGGAGACAGGCCAGTGGGCGCTCGGGCCTGGGGCGGTTGGTGGAGGTGTCTCTCACAATCCACGTGGCTTTGGCGGATCCTGGTGGCGTCCTGTCCGTGGACGAACTGGTAGCAGCTGCGGCCCACCAGCTCCGAGGGCCCCAGGTCCATGTGGTCGCTGACTCTGGGAGCAACAGCGAGAGGAGATCACATGGGGGTCAGACCCTTGTGCTGAGCACTTTAAAAGGGTCCCTCTGGCCAGGCCTGGTGCTTCAAGCCTGTACTCCCAGTACTTTGGGAGGCCAAGGCGGGAAGATCCTTTGAGCCCTGGCGCTCAAGACCAGCCTGGGCAACACAGCAAGACCTCGTCTCTACAAAAAACCCCAAAATTAGCCAGGCGTGGTGGCGTGTGCCTGTAGTCGCAGCTACTCCGGAGGCTGACGAGGAAGGATGACCTGAGCCCTGGAGGTCGAGGCTGCAGCGAGCTCTGATTGAGCCACTGTCTCCAGCCTGGGTGACAACGAGACCCGACTCAAAAATAAAAAGACGGTGTCCCTCCCAGGGTGGCTGTGAGTGTCCGAGCAGATGGCGACCAGCAGGGCCCCGGGCGCCCTGGAGCCCTCAGAGGAAGACGGCCGAGACGGTGG